TATCAGAACAGGGAGTTTTGGTGTCCTAGTGGTTAAGGATTTGCATGCCCCCCAAAATAGGTGGTTCAAATCCACTTGATGGTCCCAAAGGAGAAAATGAGCAATATTCACCCATGTGATTTACACTGAAAACTTCTTGGAGGGTCAATTTGGAGTCTGTTCTGACTTGACAGCAGCAAGTTGGTGCTATTTTGATATGGTTTTTTGTTTGTTTGTTTTTACTTATCTATTTTTTTTCTGTGTATTTGTTTTACATTAACAAACAACTTAGAGAACAGAGTAGGATAAGTTCTCTTGATACAGAGTCAGAAATTGGTCTCCTCACTGTCGGAATCACCTTTTAAAAGAAGGGATCCTCATTGTACCTTTGAAATTCTATGCTTTTTTATTTTCATTTTTAAAATACTAAATATATAATCAAACACTAGCTTTTGCTACTTCCTATGTTTCTTTTGCCCTTCCTTTGTTCTGATTAGATTGTACACCACTGAGGAAAAGGGTCATGCTTTTAAATTATTTTGGTTAAACATTGTGCTATATAATAAATATTTGAATAAACATGAAAAAAAGAACCACCACCAATCTTTGATATCTAGCAATGTTTGACTGATAGCCATATTTTTCTATGTAGGACTATATCCTTATTTCCTTCATTTATCAGTAAAATAGTAATTCCATTTTGAGCTGCCTCTTTGCTCTCCATGAGAGAAAAGTTTCCAAGAGTGTCTGTAACAAGGCTACATGAGCACATGCTGAAGGTCTTTTTGCCCTTCTAAAAAAATCCTCCAATGCAGTTAGGCAAGTCACAGCTCTGCTTAGCATTCTTCCCATACACGTTCACTTTCAGTTTGCTGATCCGACAGCAGGAGTTCATCCCACTCAGTCCTGCTGAGGAAATGAGCAGCTCCTCTTGACCATTGCTTCTAGAGTGGATTGCCCATCCTCTTTAGATTTTGAAACCTCAAGAGATAACAGGTTCCCTTGTGAGTTCCTCCCTTGTCTATTTGTTTTCATTTATTAATTAGATCTCATTCCCCACCCCTCTCCCCTTCTGTGGTCTGGAGGAGCCCTGGTGGCAGAATGGGTTAAGTGTTGGACTGCTAGCAGAAAGGTCAGCCATGGAAAAGCGTTAGCCTCTCTTCAGGAGAAAGATGAGGCTGAATACTCTCCTGAAGACTCCTAGCCTTGGAAACCCTATCACAGCAGGTCTGCTCTGTCCTGTAGCATTATTATAAGTCAGAACTGACTCAGTAGTAGGGTTTTCTGTGGTCTGAAGAAACACTGGTTTCTTACCAGATCTTACAACTGTGTTGGCAGCCTTGCATACCTACTAGGTGCTATACTGTAAAATGAGCTATAGCATCTTTAATTACATCCCAAGATTCCCGTGTTGTTCTTAAGTATTGTCCTGTCAACCACAAATCTTAGTGACCCTATGAAAAAGAGATCTGAACCTTGTGCCTCTTTTTAATCTCTATCACGATAGCTCAAACCCATTATTGTAGTCACTTTGTCAATTCATCTTATTGAGAGTCTTCCTCTCTTTCTCTGACCCTCCACTTTCCCCAGTATAATGTCTTTTTGAAAGCCTTGGCCTCGCCTAATAACACGTCCAAAGTATGTGAGATAAAGTTCCACGATTCTTGCATCTAAGTAGCACTCTGTTTGCCCTTCCTACAAGACAGATTTGTTTGTTGTTTTGGCAGTCCATGCCATACTCAATAATCTTCTCCAACATCACTATTCAAATGCATCAATTATTCTTAAGTCATCCTTATTCATTGTTCAATTTTCAGATGCACAGGAAGTGACTAAAAATACCCTAGCTTACAGCAGACTCACTTTAGTCTTTAAACTGATATCCTTGCTCTTCCATCCTTTAAAGAGGTTGTTGAGCTAAGATTTTTTTTCAATGCAACACATCTTTTGAGATCTTGATTCCTATTATCATGGGCATTGATTGTGGATCCAAGCAAAATAAAATCATTGAAAAATTCAATCTTTTCTCCATCTATCATAATGTTGCCTATTGGTCCAGTGGTGACGATTTTTGTTTTCTTGATGTTGAGATATAATCCGCATGGAAGGCTGTATCTTTTTTTTTTTAATCTCCTGCAATGAGTGCTTTAAGTCTTCTTTATTTTCTGCAAGCAAGATTATGTCATCTGCACAACCCAGGTTGTTGATGAGTCTTCCTCCAAACTCAATACCATATTCTTTTTCGTATAGTCCTACAACCGGAATAGTTATGGAGAAAGGATATGGTCTTGGTGTACATTTTTCCTGATTTTAAACTTGTATAATGGTTTATTTTCATTAATTTTGGGGTATGAATTACCTGATGTCTCTCAACCTCTACTCATGGAACTTTAATTATTGAAGTGCCAGGACTCTGTTTTTAGGCTTAAGATGGAATATTGTCCCAAGGCACCAATTAAGAATAAAAACAGAGGCTACTGTAGCCCATGTTCTCATTAATATGCTCTCAATTATATCTATATAATTTTTATTTTATATTGGTTTGCTTACAAAGTTCATACACATTGTGTTTCACACTATTCTTCATTCACATTGTGTTTCATACAATCATTCCCGTGCATTATGTTTTATAAAATTAATCACCATCGGACTATGCCCATCATTACCCTGTCTTTTCAGGTCCCTGATGGAGCAAAAGACTGGAGAGCATTATGCTGAGTGAACTAACTCAGTCTTATAAGGACAAATACTGCATAAGACCATTATTGTAAAAAAAAAAAAAGTAGATGGATAACTAGTAAAACATGTATGGGGACCCAAAGAGGGAAAGGGTGGGAATGGAGGGGAGAGGATGGGTAGGGGCGAAATAAATTCTTTATTAGTTGCTACACTCCCCACCATCAGTCTCAGCCTCATGAGTTTACTCATCTGAAGTGTTAGCACTTGGACCTCTTGCTCACTCTTCATTTTTCACTGAACAGTCATATAAAACTCTTAACTAGTCAATGCAACAAACCAGGAAGAGAGTGATAGTATACTAATAGTTAAAGGAAGAAGAGAAAGGAAAGAATGAGGGAGAAATATGACCTTGGGAAACTTCTTGAGCAAAGCTTTTTCCTGTATTTTGGGGGGGGGGGAATTCTTCAATACAGGTGTGTTTATTTGGTTCTAAGAAATAGATAATCACATCATCTGCCCAAGATCCCTGGGCAGGCTTAACTGTGGGATTCAGTGGTTCCTTCGTGCCCACTCCTATTCCCAGTCTCTCCTACAGCCCCCAGGGTGCGAGGGACCATCATGCTCATGTTCAGGAGGAGCTCTCAGGGGACTGGCACTCATTTTCTTCTGGGAAGTTTTGTGCATCATCCCTTAAGCTGGGAGTAGAGGTCATGCACCTGTTTTACTGTTGATATTGCCACCTCTTGGGTTCCTTACCCCTCTCCCCCGACCCCCGGGATGCTTTGGAAAACATAGTTACTGGCATTTACTTTCATTTGATAGTCACACATGCAGATGAGTATACATGGAGCCTAGAGCAGATTGCAGATGTAAAGACACGAGTGCAGTTCGGTGGTTTTTAGTTTTTTGGTTTTTATTTTTAGCGTAAGAACAATTTTTTTTGTAAGAAAAATAATAGATTAGACAAAAGGCCCCTGAACCTATAAAAATCAAATTATTTCTTCCCATGTCAAGACAAGGGCGGAATTTATAGCCCTACAGACAGCAGATAATTTAGGTTCTGTTGGTTTTTCTAGCTGAAGGGGCCCGGGTCCAGTAGATAGGGAAGCCTTGGAATCAACTCTGAAGCATACTGACTGAGACATTTACTGGATATCCTCTCAGGACTAGAAGATGAGGGATGTGAAGGTTTAGAGTGCAGATGATGTGGACATAAAGCTTTTATGCAAACCCAGGGATTGAGGATTGTTTAAGGAGCTCTGCTTAAACATTCAGAAAAGATATGCAAACTGAGGTGAGATTTTTTTTTCACTTGTCAATGAAATGCAGTTTATGAATTCTCTTGTGTTTCAGGAGTTTGCTGGCCTGTCACTAATGGGAAAAGTTCATTGCATGTAGTGGGTAGAATGATATCCTGTATTTATCCTAAGCCACTAGTGTGAGCTTGAGACTGGTAGCTTATAAGAGCAGATGTTGAAATTTCTTCCTTCTGCCAAAGGCGGCGACTCTGAGTGGAAATGCTAACAAAAGTGTATACATCAGATTCCGTTTCACCAAAAATGTCCTTGTGTCAAAATCATCTTTAATAACCCAGAGCGGCAGAGAAACACCTCAAATCATTGTTTGCTTTGAAAGGACATTGAATATGAAACAGGAAGTGGTTACCCGCCCCCGGCTGTTTTAACCACTTGACCACAGAGGATTTTAAATACAACTTGATTTTCACTATTTAAAGTGAACTTTTTGTTCTCTGTTTGCATAACTCTATTTCTATTCATCGGAATTACATTGCAGTTACTTCCCTGCTCTCAGGTTTCACTGCTTCTTCAGAAGACGCTACAAATCAAAGTGCTTGCTTTCTCTCCATTGGCTTCCTTGTGATTGCTCTCTTACCTTGCAAACTCTAAAATATATCTCCCTCAAATAATGAAACATCTCACAGTTTAAGTTTTAATTGAGGTGACAATATTTAATTCTATTCATTTCTAAGACAAAGTAAATAGCCAAGTCAACTTTACTGAAAACATTTGTCTGTAATGAAAATTCAGATAGAAAATGAAATTTATTTTTACTTTCAGTCTTAAGTACTTTAAAAAGTAGAAATGGTCCCTTTTTTCAATATTTACTTAAAGTATACTGAAAGATGGTGTTTTGTTGAGTTCATCTAGCAGAGAAGAGATTTCCCCCTTGCCCAATTTTGAGGTATACTATTAATAAAGAAAGAACTGTGTAAGGTGGATGATCAGGTTTTATAAGTGAGCTTGCTTGCCTCCTCTTCCATTCATAGAATGGCTGCATCTCTATGACAATACTTTGGCTGTTTTGTTGGTTTTTACAAACAGGTGTCTTATTAAGGACTTTGAGAAGCGACCTTCCGTCACACAGCTACTCGACCACCCGTTTATTAAAGGAGTGCCTGGAAAGGTTTTAGTACTGCAAAAACAACTGGCCAAGGTCCTCCAAGACCAGAAGCACTTAAACTCAGTGGTTAAAACCAGGTACTGTCCTCTTCATCTTCTTGCTGCCTCCCTGATTCTTCACTGAAACAGCATGCCATATGTTTTGATTTGCCTGGCATTGTTATTGCTAATTGTCACACCCCTGCATTCCAGAGAGTTTAATTTGCATTGTATTAAGTGCTCCATTCCCAGTGGATGATAACAAGAGAGCAACAGAAACAAGCTGCCCATTTGTGCTTTTATGGTTAATTTTTCTCAACCTTAGCTGAATTATCTCTGCTTTCACGTTTGCTTAGCTCTAGTAAATTTAAAACAAAACAAAAAACCCAACAGATATATACACATTTATATTGAATACAAATGTGTATGTATTACCCCTAAAGCTTGCCATAAGAAGGCAGCTGTAGAGAGAGTGTGTGAAAATACTTTAATTGACCATTGCAGACTGCAGGACAGAATTCTAGGTTATTAAGTGATTTCAGAAAGAATTCTTTAAATACTGAAGTTGTCTCCTTTAATGTGCTCTTATACAGTTTTTTCTTTAATCAGAAAAAAATTAGAGGCAATTCAGTATTTTTAAATGAGTTCCTACCTTCTACCCATTCACATATTGTTTTTGCTATCTTTTTAAAAGTAACAAGTTTACATTTTTATTTTAAAGATAGATCTTTATAAATGAATGTTTCTTTTCAATGGTAATTGTTTTTTTCTGTCGTGGTCTATGAAAAAATACATCTTTGGTTTCTGTCCAGAGGGTGGCAGAATTTCTCTTTCAAAAAATTTTTTTTAAATGCAAATAAACCTACTTCCCCTGCTCAGCAATTACTTGCTTGCATAACACTGGCCAGGCTGCAGATAAGCTCTAGTTCATTATTATTAAAAGACCATTCAAAGTACCAGAGGTGAAGAGAAGATAATATCACAAGTTCTGGAATTAATCGTGTATTCTGCAGGAAATTGTTTACAAGTCAAAAAGCCAAATACTGGCATTGGAACACTTGGAGCTGGATGCTTAGTGTCAAGGTGACTGTACCTTGCTGATTTCTTACCTCCAACCAACTTCCTCTTTGGAGAGCTCACATTTCCCCCTTCTTTCTTTTTTCATTGCCATTTCCATTTCTTCAGATTGTTATGTAGCATAGGGAAATTCCGTGCTTTATGCCTTTTTGAAGCAGTGGGAGTTTATAGTTAAGCCCTAGGAACTTCAGTTCTTTTTTTCTGGCTTGCTTTTGTTACTTAACTTGCCCACGGCTACTGCCAAAAAAGTAAAACAAAACGAACACCAAGCAAGACATAAATATTTCTTTAACATCTGACAATCTTATCGTCTGTCTCCTTCCTCTATGTCTTCACAGAGCTGAGGTCTCTGACAGGGTAATTTCTGAGACTTAGTTTATAAAGTTTTCCAGCCTTTTACATTTGCCCAGGTTTCCCCTTCAAAAATCTCTCTCCTTTTACCAGAGAAAGTCACAACAGTAGGCTCTCACTTCTTTTCTGTCCTTTCTTTTTCTCGGCTCCTTTTATGTCCAACATCTCCTTTGGTGGCAAAGGCTCCTCACAGGGCCTTTGCCATTTTCAGTTTCACTCAGCAGTTTGTGTTTCTTTGAACAGTAATTAAAAAACAAACCCCAAAAGACCAGCCTCAAAACTAGGTATCAAAACTTTAAACAGTCATGTACCTAGAATGTGGGAAATAAATTCCAAATGAAGCACAATGCAATGTAATTGACTCTTTAATTCTCACATATTGCACACTATGACTTTCTCTTAGCAGCCGTTCAGGAGTTAGGTGCTGTTCAGGTGGTACCAGAGACATGACTTAGCCTCCTCAGAAAAAACAAGCCTCAAATATTGTTTTATGCTGGTAACTCAGTATATTTAAAGTTGGCAATCTTCGAGTTAAGGTGGAGTAAAAACCAAAAACTGAAGTGAAGGTATTAATGAACGAGGCCATTACATATATATATTTCTTTTGGGGATGGGGTTGAATAATTATGGTCACAATAGACAGTATAGTGCAGTGATTAAAACCATTGGCTCTACCAGGTTTGAATTTCAGCTCAGACATGTATTGCACAAGTTACTTAACCTTTGTGTACCTTGGTTTCTTCCTCTAGAAAATGGAGGTGTTCGAAGGTTAAGTTAGTCAATAAAATGCTTAGAATTATGCTTGATACAATTAACTCTGAAGAAGCCCTGTGGCCTTGATGTGTAAATTCCTGTGTTATTTGCTGGCTATACAATATTTTGTAAAGAAACAATACTGAGGTACCAATGAATATAATTATATATATTTCTGCATTCATAGTCTAATTTATTTATGTATTCTTCCAAGAAACATTTATATGCATATATGTGTTAGGCACTATGATGAACACAGAGACTACAAAGACAAAGCAGATACAATTCCTGATAAAAAGTTACTAGTCAGGTGTGTGACACAGCCAAGGATCAGATGAGAATGTATCAGCATGCTAAAGGGACACCTGGGATAAAAGAGCCCCTGAGAAATGTACCTGAACCCACGTGGGCCTGGGATGCTTGGGGAAGACCTCCTGGAGTTGATAGAGGAAAGGTTCTCAAACTACTCTGAAGAGCAAATAGATAATTAGGCAAATTGTATTCCAAGTAGGGAGGACAGAATGAGCAGAAGACGTATAAACAGAAGGATAGAGAGAACTTGGAAAATTATGTGAACAAGAAGTTGGCATGACCAGAGTGTAGCCTGGGACAGATGGGATGCCGGGAAGACAAGGCTTGGCAGAGGCCTCATCATGATGGGCCCAAAGAACTTAGATTGTTTCTTAAGCCCTAGGGAACTTCTGAAGAGTTTCAAGCAAGAAAGTGTCCCAGGAAAGTCACTCTGATTGCAATAAGAAAAACAAAGGGAGAGGGCAAAACCAGAGGCAGAAGCATGAGTGAACCAGTCATAGCAATTAGAAATGGTGAAACACTTTACGATAATGAGTCAGCCTATGTCTAATTGCCTGCGTGAACGAACAGCTGTCTCCTTTGCCACGAAACCAGAAAATCAGAATGGTATCCGGTTACCATTACTGAACATTTTGATCAAAGATTCTGCAGAGTAATCATAATCAAAAGGAGAGGAAAATATGGAATAGAACCTCAAATTCTTGTGGAATTCAGATTTTCTGAAGCCATTGAGGCTGAACAATCCCTCAAATTTATTGCCCCAAGGAAATCTTTGAATTTTATGCTGAAACAATTCCATAAGTCACCTTTAAACCAAATATTTGTTTAGATTAAGTAAGAAAGAATACCTGCATTTGTGTTATTTTAGAGAATTATGTATATGTGATGGAATGAAATACAATAACTCCAAGTTTAGATAAGACATTAAGAAGTAATGAGTATATGTTAATGATGGTGGAACACTTTAGAAAAGGATATTGGAACAATTTGAAGAATGTAACTACTATCACTAAATAATACATATTGAATTGTGGTATGTTATGCTCTGCATAGCTTCACCAAGTTGGTGGTGTTGAGAGAGGTGCAGTTAGCTAATAATATTGACGGACTTTGTCTGTAGATGGATTAAAGAAGATTAGTAAAAGAAGATGTCCTATCCAAATTGTTTATTTTCCTGCCCTGGTTCATATTACATTAAAACAGAAGTTGTACTGAAAGATGGACACTCATCAAAAGGCTCTGCTTCCCCTTCATAGCCTGTCCTTTTACAAGGTTCCCAGTTTTCTGCTGAAGGTAGGATGTTTCAATGATCCAAATAGTGCTGCTATCCTAGCTGCAGCCAATTATTTAGCAGTTAGAGATAATGTAAATGACATCTTTACAAGTTGCTGTTGTTAGGTGCAACAAGTCAAATACAATTCATAGTGACCCTGTGAACAACAGATCTGAAGACCTTGTCCTATCCTGCACCATCCTCATCATCTATGATACACTTGAGCCCACTGCTGCAGTCACTGTATCCATTTCTCTTGGGGGTATTCCTCTTTTTTGCTCCACCTTTCCAAGAATGATGATGTTCCTTTCCAAGGATTTCATTACTTGGAAAGGAATCAAGAAAGAAGTTCAAAATCAAGAAAGAAGTGTGTCATAGTTGTATCCTTTCTTCATGTATGCTGAATCTGTATGCTGGACAGATCGTTCAGGAGGCTGGACTCTGTGAAGAAGAATGTGGCATCCAGATAGGAAGAAGAAGACTCATTGATAATCTTCTGTATACAGATGGCACGACCTTGCTTACTGAAATAGAGGAGGACTTGAAGCGTTTGTTGTATAAGGTCAAGGACTGCAGTCTTCAATATGGATTGCATCTCAACATCAAGAAAACAAAGATTCTTACCATTGGGCCAACTGACAGCATCAGGATAGATGAAGAAGAGATTGAGATGGTTAACAATTTCATCTTGCTTGAATCCACAATCAATACTCTTGCTTTAGGAAAGTCCACAGTCAGGGATCTCTCCAAAGTGCTAAGGTACACTTGATCCAAGTTATAGTTTTCTCAAGTATTTGCTATGCATTTGAGAGCTGGACCATGGCTAAGGATGACAGAAGAAGAATCAATGCCTTGAGTTGTGATGCTCGAGAAGAGTATTGAACATAACATTGACTGACAAGAGAACATATCAAGAGAACATACAGGTTTTCCTGGAGAGGGTGAAACCAGATTGCTCCTTGGAGGCAAGGATTTGGAAGCTCCATCTCACATACTTGGGCATGTTGCCAGGAGTCACCCTATCTTGGACCTCATACTTGGAAGAGTGGAGGGTCAGCGCAGGAGAGGAAGACCCTGGATGAGAAGGATTATACAGTGACTGTGGTAATGGTGGTAGGTATGTCAGACAATGAGATTGACACAAGATTGGACAGATTCATAGCTATTGTTCATGAGGTCTTTATAAATCATAGTCAACTGGAGGGCACATGAGAACAACAACAACATTCTTAGAAAATGTTGTTACAGTTAAGTAGACAAACTTCCTAAGATTTATCTTCACTTAAAAGTAAGCCAAGCTATAAATTACACCATCCTTGTCAGCCAGTGATGC